ACAATGAAATACAGGGTATCAATGTTTTAAACATGAAAAGGGATATTAAAAATATTCAGCATGCAGACGATATCACATTGGCTCTAAAAGATATATCTTCTTTGAATGTTGCAGTTAAGACTGTTAATGATTTTTGTAAACACGCTGGTTCAAAGGTCAATATAAGCAAAACACAATGTATATTATTGGGCAGTCTAAAAGATAAATACACTAACATAGAAGGCATACAGGTAACAAATGATGCCGTACGATGTTTAGGTATACACATTGGCCATAATAAAATTCAATGTTACGAATTGAATTGGCTAAAGACTTTTCAAAACATGGAAAAACTCTTTTGAATCGTGGAAAAAAGGAAAATTGACTATTTTTGGGAAATCATGTGTCGTTAACTCTTTAGCTACGTCAAAACTTATATACATGGGTTCAATATTACCAATGCCCGATCCCGAACATATTCGACAAATTAAGAGAAGCATATTTAACTTCATATGGAATAAGCGCGATAGAATTAAAAGAGATACTGTGATCGGAAAACAAGAAGATGGAGGTATAGGTGTGATAGATATTGATTTGAAATTTAAGGCCTTAAAGGCGGCATGGGCTAGATACTTAATAGATAAAAATTGCATAATCGGCGAAATAATAAGAGGATATTTAAATCTTCTTAATATTGATATCAACTATCTATTATCGTTATCAGAGACAAAACCCACAGACTTTAAAATCATTTCAAACCTTTCGGTTTTTTATAAAGAAGTATTTTGCAGTTTTAATGATTGTAAAAGATACATCGATGAAACTAAATTGTCTAATGTAAGTTTTGCTCAGCAACCAATATGGAATAATAATATGTTTAAATATGAAAACAAAACATTGTGTTTTAAAAATTGGATCAAAAGTGGGATAACACATATTAAAGACCTCTTTAACAAAAATGGAAAATTTAAAACTCTACAAGAATTGTCTGTTGATTTAATACAAAAATCAAATTGGATGTGTGAATACAAAATAATAAAAACAGCAATCTATAAAAAATCTGTAAGATTCAATATGACTTGCTGTGCATACATGCAGAATATAGGGAAGCGTTATTTTAATTTTGTAAATGGTGTATATTGTATTGAAGATAAAAAATGTAAATTTTTTTACGATAATTTACTCCTTAAGAAATTTAAAGCCCCAAGCCATCAATTAATGTATAAAAAATTATTTTCTGTTGCTCAAGAGAGTTGGAAGGATATATATAGAAATAAGGTTAAAGACATCTATGACAAAAGAATATGTGAATTTAACTATAAATTGTATACTTATATATTGTGTTGTAACAGTTTTCTTTTTAAATGCAAATATAGAACTTCTGCTTTATGTAATATGTGTGATGAAATTGAAGATATTAAACATTTACTTTTTGATTGTGAACATGTTCATATACTATGGAAAAATCTGAGTTCTGTGTTAAATTTTGATGTACAGTGGAAGCATGTCGTCCTAGGTTTTTATTCCGAACGGAATTCCAAAATACAATTTTTAAATACTTTTGTGTCTTTCGTAGCATACAAGATATATAAATTTAAAATGTTTTGCAGAGTTCAGAACAAAACTGAAACAGAAGATTTGTTATATTCCTATGTAAAAACAAATATCAAAAACAATATGGACATTTTACTGAATTTAACAAAAACTCACATGTATAAAAATAAGATGGTGACATCTGTAGAAATGCTTTAACTAAATATATGTTACTGTTATTTTTGTTATACTAACTATCCTGGCCCGGGTTAGTTAGGAATTGTAAACGGGTTTGCATAATGATTAATAAAATTATTTTAAAAAAAAAACTTTTATTTCTTTATTAATGTTTTCTTCATGCACTGAGCAATAAAATACTAGTATGTTATAATTAAAAAAAAAAAATATTAGAGGCAAGGCAAAGTCAAAGTCATTACCTTTTTCCTGGACATTAAGAATAAAAATTTACTGTTTCCAATCATGCGATCCTTACTTTTATTTCAAAAAATTGAATGTTTTTCTTTTTGCATAAAAAGATACTACCATATAGGGCCTATAAGATGATATTACCAAATTGACATGGATAATATAAATAAAATGGATATTTCCTAATCCGAATTTCCTCTATTTTTCTTAAATTTTAAAGATTTATAAGTTATTTTTATATGGATCCTATATTTAACTTTTTCCAATTTTCAGATAAAGTAAAGTTGTTCCATACAGGTACAAAATGATACAAAAACTTAAAGTTTTGATCGTTTACTAAGAGAGAAATAACACTTTTTACGGGTTTTTGGCTCAAATCTGTACTTAGATTTGGAGCATTTAAAAGCCAGCATAGTTCTAGTATGGGTGAAAAATCTTATTTATTTATTATATTTTGAAACTTTAGTCCCTTATTATTATTTAAACTTACATTTGAAAATTTTGTTTAGTCTTTGACTGCGGAAAAATTATAACTAAATTCAATGTTCTATAATAATTTTGAGAGGCAGAAAGGAAGATATATTCATACGCCACCATTCCGCCAAAAATATAGTCCCTGCTAGTTTACAAACGCAGTTAACCATTTCTATTGAAAGTTGTATAATTGTGATGAGGTAAGAAAATATGGTCTTTTAAATCTCTTACATCTAAATATAAAAGACATATCAACAAATGTACTTTGAATATTCCATCTAGTCAGAAACCAGATAAGAATCCTTCCTTAAGGTTACAAATGGAAATATCGGCTATTTTTAAGATAAAAAAAAATACCTACTTTATTAGGATGGGCGATTCTTTTTAGGACTTCACTGATATATAAAAAAAAATGTTTTGTGGGTTAAATCTACGTTTGGGACATTAAGATTTTTTTTTTTCGACTTGTCACGTGATGTCGACGTCACATGATTTTAGCAATCATACTTGCAGTTTAAAGGTCATTTATAAATTCCAATATTGCAAGGGCATAACCAAATTAAAAATCTTAGTTTAATTTATAATCCTTTTCAACACTATATGTAGTTTGTGAAAAGTGCAGCAAACCAATATAGATTCCTTTTTTTAATTGCTAAAATATAATTTGTTGGACGGCAGGTTGAATATTTTGCTGGTCAACTACATTAAATATAGCTATAATTAATTTATTTGCAAGATCTCATGAGGTTCGCAGCACTTTTCAAATATCTTAATGGTTCTTTAGTTTATATTTAAAAACTTGACAAGACACATTGAGGGTATGCCCTTACAATTAATCGATTTATAAGGGCCCTTCAATTAAGTTTTTAATGAATCTGCTTACAAACACACGACAGTATCGCTTGTCTGGAGAATAAACGGACAGTTTATAAATAAAATACTAAAACAGACATCGCATCCAGGTGAACAGCCTTTAATTTAATTGCAAATAATATTTTATTTGAGAACAAAAGACATTTTTCATTGTAAAAGATGTGACTTTATCTGCCTCTTACTGTGTACAAAATGCGTCATTTTTTTCGAGATGACGTCACATTAACAAGTGCATTGTGATTGATGCATCGTTTATATATTGATATGTGGGATTTAACAAACGACAAAATGCATGTAATAGTAATATTGTATGTAGCATACAGCTATCCAGCTGTTTGAAATAGCAAGAAGGATATAGAGATAACGAACAGTATTCAATCTCAAAGTCCATAAAACAATACAAAATTAAGCAGAGCAAACACGGACCCCCGAAACATCAGAGGTGGGATCAGGTGCCATTGAACATCCCCTGCCGACCCTGAAATCGAAATAATTTCGTTTTGTAGTATTTTGAAGACCTCATATTATGTATGACGTCATAGTAAACATTTCCCGTACAAAGTAGGCCTCGCCTCCTTATTTAATATTAACTCTGCTGCGTAGGAAAAAGTAAGGTAAATTGTTTTTTTAGAGATTCGTTTTACGTTCAAACCATTTGGGTTTAGTTGGCCGAAAAAGGGCAATGTTATTTAAAGAAAAATGCTTAGGCCACACCAATTTAATTTTTTGTCCGTCGGATATTTGATGGAAAAAGGTACGAGCGGGCAAGCAGTTAAATAATAATATTATTACTTTTTTGAAGGTAAAATGTTTAGGCGGAGCGTGAAAAAATATGAGCGGACAATTATATTTCATCTGATTTGCAGAGTTAGCGGATTAAACAAACTATGAATAGAGCAGAAATTGAACAGAAAAATAGCACAAATTTTTTATGATGCGGGAAATTTAAATTAATATTATTAGTATAGTTTTGTTGAAATACGAGCGGCTGGTCCGAAGAACAAGAAAATTAATTGGTGTGGCCTTAATACATTTTAAAAGACCAGCTGCATTCCTTAACTCAATTCATAGATTTTTGAATAGTGTGTATTCGATTTTTGTTTTGGAATCATGGCATTGAGAAAAGAGTAAAACCACATTTTAGGCTCCATGAATGCAATCATTTGTTGAAAAGATATTGTGACCATTGTGGTTAATTGGTGAGCATTTTGTGATTTTTTTTTTAAAGGAAAGTCCTTTTCTGTCTTCTTTAGAGATTATAGAATTCACGTACTAATTACAAAAAAAAGTTTTTTGAAACCCGATTTAAACATTGTTCAAAATACAGAACATGGTACAAAGTTGATTACACTACAATTATTGTTTTTAGGTAGAATATTCAAAAACCATGTGTCACAAAACAACGCTTGTTTCTCCAATAAATCTATAGAGAATTTCCAACTCAGATAATGAATAAAAACTACGATGTTTAGTTGAAATAGAGTGTGTTTGCCGAACCACACTGTGTTTGTAGAATTCAAGTGTGAATGTTGGACTACAATGTGTATGCAGAACGCCAGTGTGTATGTTGAACTATATTTTGTAGAAAAAAATATTAAATAAATTTAAAAATTATCAATAACTTTTGAAAGTACGTGTACTTTTATTTATACATACATTTGAAATCTCTGGGAGAAACATATATATTTGCAGTTCTTATTATTTTGTTTTTGAAGGAGGTTGGGAACTTGTACGATATGTTTCATACAAGGAACACGCTTCAGAGATTAGCTTGCCAACACAGAGTTGGAAATATTATAGAGGCCATGTGAGTTTTTATTATTATTGTTATTGGATGATTTTTAGATGAGCTGTTCTATATCCATTCATTGGATTTTTCTTGTCTGCACATTTCTTCTAAGACAAAGACAGTTTGGATAATATTTTATGTTTGATGTTTCAAAGACAAAACGGTCTTTCTTATTTAGACCATGAATGTCGATATTTACATATATAATCTTATATAAATCCTGTTTATGTCCATTACTTCTTAATGAATGATTACATTAATTTGAAATGTGGTGTTTAAGAGAGAAAAATGGGACATTTTTAATGTAAATAGTCAGTTCTACTTGAAAATGAACTGTATGCATAATTAAAACATCGATCTTTCAGGATAACAGAAGCAATGTTGGAGGCGGATAAAGTCACAAGTATCATTCCAGGCAAGAACGGGTAATTAGTCTCTTTCAAATTGTTGTATCGAATCAAACATTTTAAATGTGATATTGAAAACACCATTCGATTTTTAAAATGACAGTAAAGCATGCACACATTTTCAATGCGAAACACTAATACGTGGGTATATTTTTAAGTAATGGTTGAAAAATGTGCAAGCTATATTTGAAATGAGGTACAAACATGTGTTGATATCTGTTTGAGAAAATCCAAACACGTCGCTATTTTTAATGCAAAATGTTTTCTATAGAATCATCAGTAAAAATGGTAAAAAAAGGAAAAAAATATAATACTAAATCATCATAAATGTTCATTTGATAACAATAATTTTTTTTTATACTTAGATGAAATTTAAAATCAGTCATAAAAGGCAATTGCTTTAGAAAAAGCAATACACATTATAATTAATCTAAATTTACTTCGTCCAGAGAACACTGGAAAATATGGGAATCCGTTGATGATATGGAAGTGTACCAAAAAGTGACAGATGACATTTTCCAGCAGATTTTGTGGTCTAATGATAAAGCTCTAGAGAAGTCAAGAAAAATTCTTTTAAAAATCCAGAACAGAGAGTTGTACAAATGTGTTGGACAAACCCGCCGCTCAATATCTGAAAAGGTATTTAAGAAATGTTGCCAACAAAATTACAAAAACTGGTTCAGATTTTTATTTCTTTTTCTAGAACCAATGGTTAACGTCTCATATTTATGATATTTATGATTACAGCATCACCTGCATTGTTGGGTTTATGATTTGATATGAAAAGACATTCTACGTGCGATTAGTTTCTTAAAAAGAAAAACAATTGGCAAAGAAGCTGATGAAAAAAACAAAATTGAAAAATTAATTACAAATTTTGAAATAGTATTTGTCACAAAGGATGAATACCTAGCCTATGACTTAATAATTTTTACCACATATTCGCCAGGTAATAATTGCACATGACAAGAATCCACGTAAACCATCCATACAAACGAATTGACTCACAATTTGCTCTTGAGTGCATCTGGATCTTAAGAGTGTAATAAGAGGGATATAAACTATTTTGTATTACTGTTTAGGGAGGATGGAATCAAAGTCTGAGTATTTGCATGCACATAGTGCCGTAAATAAAAGAAATAAAAGTTTATTTCTTTTCATTCTAATATCTTGAACGCAACGACTCAGTCTTAATACACATGGTACATTGATATAAAACAAGATGTGTTTATTAAACACTGATGCCCCTGTATGGCAATATAGCGAAGAGGAAACTTTTCTTAAATGCAAACTCACTGGAAAAAACAATGCTGAAATATCCCTTACAAAAAAAAAATTATAGTAAACTTACCGGTAGATTACTATATGAAGGTTGTTCGAAAAGTTCGTGGACTACTGTCATATGTTATCCAAATTTAGTGGAAATATTTTAACAATTAATTCAAATGATTTGTGTTATTTTTTTAAATACCACATTTTTTTCAAAACTTATCCAGGTTTTAAAAATGCAAAAATCGGATAGCGGAACAGGTCAAAATTTAGTAAGTTTCGATCAATACACTAAATAATGTCTGTAGTCACATTCTCAAAACCGAAAAACAACCGAGAAATCAAAATTAAGAATTGTTAAATCGAATCGATTCTTATTCCAAATTATGTCTTAATATTTTGCTCTGTTAAAAAAATAAACCAACTTGGGAAGATATGTAATCCTTATTGAAAATGACAAAAACGATGACTTTTAGAACGTCACGGAGCAGCCGATATCGATGCAATTTTGTCTTTTACTTGGGAAAATACCTGAAAAAATCAAATAATGTTGATGGAATAAAAAATATTTTGCAAGCGAGTTTTTGCATGTGTGTGTACAAATAGTATAGACAGTATTTGAGTGACAGAGACTTTGTTTCAGATGAGGACAATCTGTGAGGAAACGTATCTGTAAAAATCTTAACAAAAACTTTAAAATGTTTGAACGTCAAGGAAAGACATAGGCGCTTTAGAGTTGCTTACCTTGTGAAAGCAGAGTTAAGTAATAAAAGAAAGTAAAATCCTAACAAATGAAATTATACAACTTTGTGGAATAGTAAATTTTAGAAATTCTGGACAAAATATTATGACGTTACATTGCCGTTAAGGATGCTCAGCGGGTACAAACATGTTGAATTTAAGATAAAGTAAATTTATTACAAATGGTAATCCAACTTATACTTATACTTCCCTTTCTAAGGAAGAAATTCTTCAAAATCATATGTCAGTTTTGAATATCTTTAATATTCCTCAGAGCCACCGGTCACGGTAGCCTAGTGGTAGAGCGTTCGCTTTGTGATCAGGAGGCCCGGGTTCGATTCTCGTTCGCGACGCCGCGTCATACCTAAGACGTAAACAAAGGTAGTGACTGTTCCTTCGCCAAGCGCTCGGCACTAGAAGTGAAAGTCACGGGTCTTTCGGATATGTCCTTAAAAACGTAGGTCCGGTGTCACGGCAGGCGCTGGCACGATAAAGAACCCTCACTGCTCAATGGCCCTGAGTGCCAAGTATAGGTCTAGATTTGAAGCCCTTCACCGGCATACGATGACGTCTCCATATGAGTGAAAAATTCTCAAGAGGGACGTTAAACAACATACAATCAATCCTCAGAGCCAAAATGAATGAATACCTTATATATATTGGATTCCGAAAATTCATAAGAATCCTGACAATCAAATATACATTGCGGGTTCCAGTTCAACCAAGCCTCTTTCTTTACTCCTCACCAAGATACTGACAGTAGTGAAGGGACTTAAAGAGTACTGTGCTACCATATATTCAAGTAGTGGTGTGAATCAGATGTGGATGATTAAAAATTCAATAGAACTTTTAGACAATTTGAAATCACAAGATTTTACCAAAATCAACAGCTTAAAAACTTATGACTTTTCAACTTTATACACAACCATTCCCCACGATAAATTAAAATCCAGGCTTTTTGATATCATTGACAGCTGCTTTTTCAATAAAAGTGGAACTCGTAAATTTACTTACCTTGTCATTGGTCATTTGCAAAATTATTTTGTTAAAAACGATTCTGATTGAACACACAAGTACGCTGAAGTTGAATCAAGAAGATGCTTGAGTTTCTTCTAACGATCTATTGGAATTCCCATGGGAACCAATTGCGCTCCGTTATTAGCAGACCTTTTTTTTGTATTCATATGAAGCGGATTGATGCAAAATCTTATGCGTGAAAAGAAGAAAAAACTTGTTGTGGCCTTGAACTCGACCTTCAAATATATCGACGACGTATTGTCAATTAACAATGGTAATTTCCATTCCTACGTCGATACGATATATCTAGGAGAGCTTGAGATAAAAGATACCACAGAGTCTGACACATCTGTTTCATACTTGAAAAAGACGTTAATGGTAACCTAACAACCAAGTTAAATGACAAACGTGATGACTTTAACTTTTCTATCATCAACTTCCCTTACCTATGCAGCAATAAACTTACATCACCTGCACACAGAGTGAATATATCTCAGTTGATTTGATACGCAAGAGCATGCGCTACGTATGGATAATTTCTGAAACGAGGTAAATTATTAACAAGCAAGTTGATGAAACAAGAATATCAGCAATCACGATTAAAGTCATCATTTCGTAAGTTCTATGGTCGATACAATGACCTTGTCAGCAAATACCATTTTTCATTGAGTGAAATGCTGACTGAGTTTTTTTTTTTATACCAATTGCTAGTCCATTATTTATACACTGAATTAACGACCGATTTTTCCGTTATTTCCTGATCATGACAAGGAGTACACAGCGGGTGTGACCGGTCGTCAGGGGATGCTCTCTCGTCCATGGCACCTGATCCCACCTCTGATGTTTCAGGGGTCCGTGTTTGCTCTGCTCTTATTTTGTATTGTTTTATTGACTGTGAGACGGAATACTGTTCGTTATCTCTATATCCATCTCATAAAATTATTTGCATTGCTAAGCCTCGGATCTGTAAGTCATTTAACGTTACCTATCCGTAATTTGTTACGTGACTCACATTTCAATCAATGTTAAATCATGTTTGGTGCTTTAATTATGCAATCAAAATATTTTTATCCTATTTAGAGTCAGAACATTCAATAACACTTTTATAATTAGAGAGAAAAATATATACACCTGGGGGAAATAAGAGAACAAAGAAAAAAACACTTTACTGCCCCCATCGTGACTCCAACAGTTTGACAAAGTTTGGATTGGTCATATTTTTGCAATTAATGCACACAGCAAAATATCTTTTTAAACTTTAGTTGTCGAGATACAAGACAGATTTATATCTGCTATGTAAACAGGGTCCATGTATTTTTTTGTTTACATAGATTAATATACTAATAAACTTCGTTCAAACAGGTAATTTCAATAAAGAAGTTAATTCTAAATACAATAAAACAGTTTTTATTGTATTTGTTGAATTTCATTCTGTTTTAAATATGATATTTTCTATATATGTCAACAAAAACAAAGCACGAGCCTTGTGTACATTATGAAGAACTTTTAGTTCTGTATTTTGTTTGTAAATCAATAAATGATGTTCACATTTTTGCTGGTCATTAGAAGATGCCTTAATTAGGAATTGTAGGCATTAAAATTGGTTTAAAACATTCAGTTGAAACTGTGTCTATGCCTCTTTAGGTATTAAGAAAAATTTTCTGTCTGTGAGGTGGAAAATCTTTGATGATATAAAGTTTATTTAAACTATTGCAGAGCATTCTGAGAAGATTGTATACTGATTGATTGTATACTGTTTAACGTCCCTCTCCAGAGTATTTCACTGATATGGAGACGTCACCATTGCCTGTGAGGGGCTGCAAATTTAGGCCTATGCTCGGCACTCAGGGCCATTGAGCAGGGAGGGATCTTTATCGTGCCACACCTACTGTGACAGGGGCCTCGGTTTATACGGTCTTATCCGAAGGACCGCCCCATTTAGTCGCCTTTTACGACAAGCAAGGGGTACTGAGGACCTATTCTAACCCGGATCACCACGGGAACATTCTGAGAAGCTAATAAAATATGATTAACTTAATTTGTTAATTCCATTAATCTGTTTGTTGTTCATGCTACATACATGTTCAATTGAACAAGAGCCAATTTTGACTTGTTGAAACTTATTTCGCACTCAACGTAAAATGTTATTTCCTTTTTTTAATGTTTCAGCTTGAGGACGAAAAAATTAAAGAGGAACTTTTTACGATTTTGAGAGATAATAACAGCGATCTTACAAGAGAAGATATTGTGACGCATGTAAGGTTTAGCAATTCAAGTATACTTACTTTAAGAATAATAATGCCACAAAAACGCATTGAGATATGGGGTAAAAAGTTCAAATAGATTTAATTAATAATGCTATGTTACAGAACAATTTAAATGGGCATCACTCATCATTAAATCAGTATTAATGATGTGTATATTAATTAATATTTCTATAGTCGGTAACGATGGACTATGGCATGAGAGATCAGAACCCAATAGAGCACGTTCGCTTTTACGGCAAGAAAGATCCCAAAAAACCGTTTAAAATCCCAAGGAATGAGGTAAAAATATTTAAACCAGCGTTCTATTTCTGTGAATTAAGTGTGATCTTCTGAAGATCTCATTTTAATTTTTTTTTATGCAAGGTTTCAAACTTCATTCCCGAGAATTTCGCAGAACAGTTAATTGAAATCTATTGTAAGAAGAAAGATGGAAAAAGCATTACACAAGCAACAGAAGCATTTAAAAAATGGATAAGCAAATATACAGTGGTAAGGTTTATTATGAGAAACCAAATTCAGCAATTAGATTTTAGAGAAGAAAATATCTCAATACACAGATAAAAAATACATATAAATTGTGCAATCAACATGGGAAATAAAAACCCTGTAAAAATGTTTTGCCAACACGGAATATTTATTAGGATTGAATGAGTTTTTTATAACAGTAATTCGAAAAGAATCTTTTTTGAAATAGTTAAAGAAAGCAGTGCATTTAAGGCAACATTTTCTTCCTAAAATCATTAAAACGAGACATTTTATGTTCATATTTAATAGTGTGAAATTCTATTTGAAATACCTTAACGGCATTTTGAGGACTGTTTCCATAGTTTTTTTTTACATCGGTATTTTTTGTCATCATGTGACACCTTACAGTCACGACGGTACCGATTTTAGGTACTAATATAAAATGTCAAATTTTACCAAAAAGTGCATTGTGGCCCCATCCTAAACTTATGGGGCCATGATTTGAACACACTTGAATCTACATATATATGAAGATGCTTCAATAACAATATGACTCATAATGGCTTTGCTTTTCTTGAGAATATTTTTAGAGATTTTTTTTTTCTATTTATTCATATGCAAAAGTTTGAATCTTACAACAGCCCCACCCTACCTACCACTCTCGGAAACTTTGACCCCCCATTGCGACCCTTCTCAACCCAGGGGGTCATGATTTGATCAAACTTCTACACTATGAAAAAAAGGTTTTCTGTAAGTTTAATTTTTTGGGGCCGTGTGGTTCTTGCAGAGAAGATTTTTTAAACATGCCACCAAATTTTCATTATTTACTAACTATCTCCCATTGGATAATCATGTTGCCTTTCTTTAAACGAACTTGAGTTCCCTTTACCTACAGAGTTTGTTTGGATTTGGTTTGGCCCAGGGCGGCGCAACTGTCATGAATTCAAATCTCATGATGACCTCCTTACTATATCATCTTCGTGTGTAACCTTAATTGCACTGCGAATGTTTTAACCCTTTTGATGCATATGTGTATGAACATATTGAGTATTTTGAAATAAGAGCAAAAATAAATTGTAGTCTGGTGACAATTCGAAAGGTTCGGAACACACTGTTTCCACAGCAGGCACCAGCACAGCAAATAGTCCTTTACAGAATGTACCAAATCAAGAAATCACGAGCCATCTCTCTTACGACTGAGACTTTTATCAAATGGCTGGATATCAACTTAGTGTTGAGGGATATAAACTTTTGTTCTAATTAAGTTATAAGAAAGGGGAAAGAAAAGAATATAGGCCTTTCAACTGCCGCTAGGAGTCGGTATTATGAACGATAACTCACTGCTAAAAATTGTTTAGAGCAGACTCGGGGTATGTAACTGTTTACATGCAAGGCGATTTTAAGCATTTCTTAAGTGTTTCTCTGCTTTCAGTAGAATCCAGTGGTTTTAAAATTTAGCACCAATGTTAAACGTTTTACTGTATAGTTGCGGACATCGGTTAACTGCATATAATTAAATTTTTTAATTAAAATAAAAAGTTAAATCTACCCTCCTTCTCAGTTTTAACCTAATTAAATTTTTATACTCGGTCGTTCCCCTTTGTGCTTAGTAACACAAATAAGATGATCAATTGTTGCATTTACTTGTAAAAATATATGTATTTAAACAGGAAGCGAAAAAGCGCGAACACAAAAACATGACATTAAATTTTCTTCTTCATAATAATCGTCAAAGAGAGTTAAAACTATTGAATATAGTCTGTTCCCCATTCATTTGATCCTGTTATTTCAGGTAGAGTGAAGGCATTCTCTTTCTCTTGGCCAAAACTTTTTGTGTACAAAACAATGTAAGGAACCCTTTTGTTTATATAACAATACCAATGCTAAAGCAGCCTATATGTCATTCCTATAAACGATAACTCATAAATCGGCACTAAGTTGGTCATTTTTCACACCTGAGTTACCTGTCCTTAAACACAACATCGGAAAAGTCAATTATAAATGATTTAACTTTTTAATGATGTAATTAAAAATTATGCATAAATTATTATCTTTTTTGATAATTTCATGCACCTATAAATCTAGCTATACAATGTTTTTTACCATATGTGCAACTTGAAAAATTAGTTGAAAGGCCTAAAGAATAGTATTTGTGTATTTATTTCAACGAGCTTTGGTTTTCTTAAATTTGAAGAGAAAATATTTAATTTCATGTATTTTTTAAATTTTATTTGACTTGTACAAAATAATGCAACTGTACTTATGTCATTTTGAGAAGCATATTCATCTAGTCTTAATGTTTTCTTCAATAAAGATGTTAAACTCAGAGATTTTTTGATCCCAATAACGTATAGCTAAATATCATTACCTCAAAAGTGAATAATTATCTAGCAAGTGCTAAGCGGATTATTTTTCAAATTATGAATATTCACTAATGTTTGATACTTGTTTATAAGTTAAACATAAAGTTTTTAAAATTAAACTGCTTTATTTATTTTCAAAATTTGAACTGATATGTAGACTTCTATTTTGAAACATGTATATTCGATGAAGGAGGGTAGTTCGAAAGTAAGTGAGACAGTTTTATTTAATCCTGGTGAACGTCTTTTGAAGAAAATTGGCATATACATCTAATAAACATTGACACTAATTGAATTCAAGAAAGATTCCTCAAACATTTTTGTTCTATGGAATTGTAATGAAATGATGGTAACGGGGCTCGGGCTGTTACGAAATTAGATATTAAGTAACATTTAGACTACAAGATTTTAAAAAGAATTTTAAAAATAGGAAATTGAATTGTGAATGTAATTATGTATGTAATATTTCTTTTTTTATGAAATAAGTTTGATCGCATTTATAATAGGAATTTCCGAACATCAAAAGATTTAACACGGTATTGAAACTTATCTCTGCAGTGTATTTTTGATTACAACAAAACAGAACAACAAGTATTCCTAAAATGTTCTGTAGTGAACGCCTTTCAAAATTGAACGAACAAGAAACTGGGAGAAAACTCGTCTATGAGAATGTTATTATCGGTGTATTTTTTCTCTCTGTGCAATTATACTCACACAACCAGTTAAAAAGCAATTATGACGAATTAAATAAGAACGCACTATGCAAACTTCTGTTCATGTTCTTTAGCATTAAAACATCAAACTTAGATCTTATTTCTTTTTTTCAATTAAATCCTTTAAAAAACCAAGAGAGTTTGATTTCTTGAATTGTATCTTTATTATGACTGAAAAAAGAGAGTTTACGTTTCTTCATCGTTTAAAAAAATACGGCTCACTTGACAATTAATTAACAAGGCCATGCTCTCCATGGCAATTTCAATTGATGTATGCCAATTTATAATTTCACCAGGGCTTATCTGAAGTTAAACAATTGATTCATTTTTCTTGATAAAATGTTGACGAATTTTCATAAGTCTATCTCTTTCCTAGAAAGTGGCTCAAAAATCTCCGAACAGTCCTCGTTTATTCAATTTTAAGTGTATGTATTTGCCATGTTATATACCTTATATATTTTTCTTACTAAGTGAGGCTTTTAATTTTTAAATGTTCTAAAATATACACTAAAATGATGTTATTTCATGGTATACTTGTGTTAACTTCTTAGTACTTAAAATTATTGATATTTAACTAAGTGATTTCTAGGTATGTCACCCCACGAATTAAAATCATTTGAAAAGAATATTATTTAACTACTTTAAAATTACATGGTAAGTAAGGTAAATAAAGATGGTAAATTATTTACCTTCTCCTGCCTAAATAATAACTTATGTTTTGAACCATATCTAAATATTCTAACAAACAATCAACATAGATCAGTCAACGTAACATAGTCAACATAAACAAGGTTACAAATATTAACTCACAACTTAAAACTGAAATTGAACGTTATGAAAAAATACCTAAATATGAATGAATTGATTCACTTTGTAATCACAATGAGATTCACAATGACATTTATTTTCTCCTTATATGTCCTCATTTTAATGTACAAAGACATGAATTCATAAATATTTGTAAAAATAAATGTAAAACTCTTCAGGCTCTATCTTATGATAATCAATCTTAAAGGCTCATGACTAATGAACACCCTGACATCCTTAGATCACTTGCTAAATTTCTTGATAATGTACCTTCACTGTAGAAATCAAAATAATTTCGAAATGTATCTTTATAATTCAATATGTATAGCAATTTATCATCTTATTTTTTATTTTTAATTTTTGTTCCTTGATATGCATATATGTATTTTTCCAGTTTCTTGACATTGTCTCCATATTATTATAACATATACAATACATGTATGTACAGATGACATTGTATATTTCGTATATCTCTTGTATAGCATTATACTGGAACCAATGATTATACGAGGGTTTTTCAAAAAGTTCGTAGACTTTTGTCCAATCTTTTTTTTTAATTAACGTCATATTAGATTGGGTACACATATTTTGCCGCCAAATTCGAATAATTTTAGTAAATAAAAATTGAATATATCTTCATATTCATAAAAAATTATCAAAAATTTAGAACAGCAAAAATGGGGCCAGGGGGCAACGTCATTATTGAGTGATTTACTAATTATCACTTTATAGCATCTATAGCCATTCCTCTAATAATTGGAGCAATAATAAAATAAAAAATTTACATGTTTAAATCAAGTATTACTGGATTAATTAAAATGCTATCAGGTAATGTTATATATGGCTTCGTTTAAAAGATATGATTTTTAAATACATATGGACTTGATTAAAAACAGCAAAAACATGACCTTGGAGGACGTCACTGAGCAGCGAGTATCAATAAAATTTTGCTGTGCACTCGGGAAACTTCTTTAACAAACTTAAGAAAATCTGTATAAACCAGAAAATGTATGAAAAAAAGCTGTGTATTTATATAAAATGGAAAATGTGATTTTTGACTGGTAGCTAGTTTGAATCGTATGATGGATGCAAAGAAACAGTCAATGGCATAGCTAAAATTCTTGTCAAAAAAGCTAGGAACGTCATTAAACGTGAAGTACGCTTCAATATTGCGGATCTTAATTAATAGAGTTACGTGGTAAATAATTTCAAAAACACAGATAATCTAGTTCGAGCTATTTTCTATAAGCAAACTGGGTGTTAAGTTTTATGGATAAGTTTTTTTTTAATGGAAAAGACTCTACAAACCTTGTATGAAATTGAACAGCAGAGTACTTTTGAGAAACTTTCTCAAGTTAAATGTTGTTTTGACGTAACAATGTGTATTTACCATGGTACACTGTAACGAAATATATTGCTTTAAAAATTGGCTAACATGAGTTCTATTTAATCAAATGTCATGAATTTAACACTTTGACAGAATAAATGTTTGTTGTTTTTTTTTATTTTAGAAAAATGTGTTTATCTATAATCTTGTAATAATACATGTAATGTTACGATGAGGAACACTGTTTACGATTTTTTTGATTGACCCTCGTACAATTAAGAATTGTTCTCATTATACATGTAATATCATGCTTGTCTTATCATTTGAATCTTCCTCATACTTTTGTTTGTAAATCTTTTTGCTCCTCCGGGGGCCCAAATGGGACAAACAAAATTTTGTATTTTGTAAAAAGCTTGTATTCATTTGTGTTTCTATATTGAATTTAACCTTACTAGTATAGTGAAAGCAATCTCTGTGTGCAATGATGCTTTAATACATACAAAAAGTTTTTTTTTAATAATGAAAGAATTTTACAGCCCCAATTGATTTAAAACAATAGGCCCAAGGGCCTTATAAGTCACCTCAGTGTCATGTAACAACTTTCCAAAAATTGAATTTGATTCATGTTTTATTCCAGAAGCCATGAAATTCACAATTTAGAAAGAGGCACCATTGCTTATCAAAACTATACACTTAGTATGCTTACTTCGGTTAGTGAATACCCAGAGGTAGATCAGAGTAACAAAGAGAAAATGCAATACCATTTTATCAGTTGTGCACCCCATCGCAAGGGAACCACTGACCAAAAATTTTAGAAATTTTATTTCATCATGTTACATTATTGATTAATACAAAAGAAGAAGCATTAAATTATTTTCAGACTATGTGCCCCCCCCCTTTCAAGTACCTCTGACCGAGGGTCCGGAAATTAACCATTTTGGAAGCTTTCAAAAGAGGAAGATTTCTTTGTCATAAATATGCACTTTGTTCATTGGCATAATACTCAGGAGCATAGGAAAAGATTTTCAAAGAATTCATGCATTAGAATTCAAACATTAGAGCCCCGCCCTAACACAAGAAGCCGTAACCCAGAGGTCCTGAAATTCAGAAATCTCAAACAAGCATCCTTCCTCCCATAAAACATGAACATAGTTCATAGTTTTAATACCTGGGTGCAGAAAAAAAGATTTTTAAAGGATTTATGCATTTTAACCATATTATCATAAAAGACCC